TTACTTTATATGTTAGTTTGGTGACATTTCACTAGAAAGTATCTTGCACAAAGAAAAATAGTAGAAAAACGCATTTACTTTAGCATAATGGACCTTTTGTTTTATGATTAATTTAATAGGAGAGATAAAATATATGAATTATAAATGAAGAATGAACACCCTTTTAATTTTCCCCATCTCCCCCATAACCTTTAAAACTATGATATTTCAGTATGTCAAGAGTTCCATATCCTCAACTTTAAGTTAAAACCCAATTTCATAAAATGATAAAATTATTAAATTATTTAATTATAGAATCATATAATTATAAAATTATAAAATTATTTAGTTAGAAAATTATAGTTATAAAATTATAAATATTTAAAGTTATAAAATAAATTATACAATTATATATAACAATCACATCAACAAGTAATTAATAAAAATATTTAATGAAAATATTAAATTAATTTTTTTTTAAATATTTGAAGAATCAATAAATAACAAAATATAATATAAACTCAATAAAAGCTTCTAAAGTTATTAGAAACTTAAAACTTAATAAAGTCACAAATTTATTAAAGACGTGTGAAAGTTTTAAATTTATTATAACTTTATTAATTTTATTTTTTATAAACTTATTAGATGTGCCTCATTATAATTGAGTCTTTGAATTTAAAGGTTCATAATACAAAAGAGTTTTTTTTTTAAAAAAAAAACTTTTGCACTTATAAATGCTGAATTTAAAATTTGAATAATTTTTCTTGAATAATAATTCTTTAAGTTCTTCATTCAATTTTTTTTATCTTTATCTTTGTATAATCACAGTAGTAGTTAGCGTTAAGTAGTTTCTCCACTTTAATTACTTTTCTAACATTTTCTTTTTCAACCTTTAATCTACATTTATTTTCTTTACTCTCTTTCTCTTTTATTTTTTTTTCTAATAACCCCTTTCACGTGTTTATTTTTTTTTCTCTCTTCTTACAAAATATTTTTCTCCTACCATAATTTTTTTTTCATTTTCTACCTCTGGTTTCTCTTTCAAGCCTTTTAGTTCTCTCACAATAAAATTTTTCTTTTCATGCAAGTCTTTAGTCATGTCATGCTGGTATCTTTAATTTTTTTTTTTCCAATTGCAATATCATATGCCCCTACCCCACAACCCAAATCCTTACAAATATTCTAACTAGGTTCTCTAATAAAACTTTTGATTCTTATATTTGAATTTTCAAGTCAAAAGGTCAAATTGTTTTATTCAACAATTTCACAATTTCTCTTGATTATGTCAATTAAGATAGATTGGAGTCTTTCTTTTTTCATTTTTTGATCTCTTTTATTTTCTATTTTCTTCATCCTTTTGTGGAAATTAGTTTCTTATAATTTGATGAAATCATGGGAGAAGTAACACTAAACCATGAAAGAGGCTTGGGAGTTTGATAAAAAAAAATGTATTTTTATAATTTTTGTATATTGAGTCTTGTAATTATTTTGTAATTTGTACTAAGCCTTTATTACGCCTTTTTAATTGTTTTGTTAATTTTTGCATTTAGTCTTGTATTTCAAGAGACTTTTTAGACATTGAGTCTGCTTGTTGGATGAACTCACTGAAGCTTTAAACACAAGATCTATAGTGTGAAAGATTTTTTTTAGACTTCTACGCTCATTATTACTCATTTCATTAAACCCTTTTATAATTTAAATCTTCAATTTAAAGTGATAAATATTTTTTAAGTCCTTGATTTGTTTTATTTATTGTGACATTCCAAACTTAATTGAATTTTTATTTTTTATTTGGTTTAAACCTTTCTTGATCCTCATTTTTGTATGAAAATCTCAGTTCGGTCCTCATTTTTTTATCTCTCTCAATTGGGTCATATTTTTTGTAAAAATGAACACATTTTACCCTAACCGTTACCTGGTCTCAGACGACGTTAAATTAAGGCCACGTGGTGCAGAGAGAATGTGTTGATGTTTTAGAATTAAGTTTTATAAAATGAAATAATTTAACAATATTATATTAAAAATACTAAAATAAATCTTTAATATATAAGATGTGATGTTTTGTTTTATGATAAAATAATATTATTATAGTCAACTACGGTATTTTATATATTTTTTATTTATATAAATTTATTTTTAAAGGAAAGCTCAGAAAATTAAAAAGAAAATATATACTTAAAAAATTTGCTTAATCAATTGATGTACAATAATTAATTATTTATCTATATTATTTTTGTATGAATTTCATTAAAATATATATATTATTTTTAATTTTAAATAAATTCAACATATATATTATATTCTTAACTTTTCAAAGTAATAAAATTATATATCTAATGATTATAATCAAAACACTTTCTGCGCATGCACAATCAAAGCACTCTCTACACAAACACACATTAGCACATTCTCTCTGTACCAAGTGACCTTAATTTGCCGTCTGAGACCAGTTAACGATTAGGGTAAAATGTGTTTATTTTTACAAAAAATATGACCCAATTGAGACAGATAAAAAATGAGGATTGAGATTTTCATACAAAAATGAAGACCAAGAGAGGGTTTAAACCTTTTTATTTTTTCCGTATTTTTTATTTTCTTTAACCTTAATTGAAATTATCCAAACATATTAATTTATCATGTTGATATACATTGAAATTGACCACCTTAAGTTATGAATCATCGAAGCTTCATTAATGTATTATGTGATTGTTAGGTCGATCACAATCTCAACGATTAATTATAATTTGATAGTTAAACTCTCACTTTGAAGAGCAAACTAACAAGTCTGATTAGTCACTAAATAGGTCGGTCGGCTAAGTTTGGATGGCCAACTCCAAGGTCGAAAGATCAACCTAGTGCGCCTGACCGATCACCAACAACCGACTAATCATGCACCAACCCGGACGATCAAGTACTAACTCGGAAGAGCAACCTAGCATGCTTGGCTAACCATCAATAGCTTGGCTGGCCATGAAATAACTTGAACGGTCAAGTACCAACTCGGAAGAGCAACCCAGCATGTTCAATCACTAAACAACTCGACTGCCCACACCATCAAGCTTAGTCAGCCACCAAACAGACCAACCGACCATACACCAACTTAGATGACTAAGCACCAACCTAGAGATCAGGCCACTAAGCATGGATGATCACCAAACAGACCATCCAACCTCAAATTAGACCGATTAGAATGAATGATACTTGAGTAGATTAACCTTAAAACTTATTAACTTAATATTAAAATATGATTACTAACAATTAAGTCGTAATTAAGTCAACATTGAGAAAAATCCCATCAAGAAACCTATAAATAAATGTTTAAGGTAAAAAAGTATATTATGTACATTAACACTTGTATTGATTGTTATCTGTCAAATGTTGAACTAATTTTAACACCTTCCACAGGTATCATCCGATAAGTTTGAACTTACTCAAGAGGAAACTCAAAGAGTTGACCTTAACTTCATACCTGAAAAGCCATTCCACAAAAAGCACATGTGGTGAGATCCAAGTCAGATTAATTGAACCAATAATTATTGTTGTTCGAGGCATTTATCTGGGACTTGTGATGAAGCAGCAAAAATAGCACAAGTGAATAAAAATGAAGATGCAGTTGAATCAACAATTGGAAGAAGTTGCAATTATTAATTAGTAATGGAAAATAACTTGTATCGGTTCATTCAAATAAGTGCAGTTTTCATCCGCTATTGTCAATGATTTACGCAGCCATGGAAGAAAGTTGGTTGCAAATTTAATTGCTGATTAGTTCAATACCCAAGTGGTTGAATTCAATAGATACTAATTAAACGTTTAAAACCTATGTTAATGTATTAACATAGCTAATATATAATCTTATATATATTGTGAATTTGAAACACACAAAACCAAAATGTTTTTTTATGTGGTTAGAAATAGAGTTTAATTAAGTTTTGATAATCTCTTGAGATAAAAGAATTTGACTGCCAATAGTCTTTAAAGTTGCCAAGTTTGACATTTCACTTTCTTTGATTTATTTAAGAATGATGGTTGTTGCATCAAATATCTCTTTTGCTAGATAGTTTTGTGAACTTTCAGTGATCGTCTTGTGTTTATCACATGAATTATTTGCATCTAAATAAAGTTCTGTTGAGCTTTAACCCATTCTCTTGTTGTGTGCACTTTCTTAAAGAGTTTCATTGAGTGTATTTTTTTCTTTAAATCAACATTACAAATTATCATTAATCACAAGAAATAATGTAAATATAGTTTAATTGAAATTAATTTCTTTTCAAAGTAATGTTATGAGTCCATTCAAGCTCAAAATATGTGTCATTGCATCAGAGAAGACGATGCAAATGTAATCACACAAAATCTCCTCCAATATCATATTTTTGAGAAAATATAGAATAGCTCAATATTACTTTGTTTATTTCTTAAAAACTTTAATTATAAAAGAAATGGAGAGATTTGCAACATTATCATAGGTTATAAGCTATTAGTTAAAACATAAATTAAAGAAGAATCAGTACGTCATATTTGAAATTGTTTAGTTGGATAATAAAGAAATAGATTTTCAATGTGTTTAGATTCAAAATATGCAAAGTAGTAATAAACAAAGAAAAAGTTTTGTTTTTCTCTCGTGAAATGATTGAATAGAAAAGTAGCGAGAAAAAAAGTGTTTTCTTTTTCTTTTCTTTTTCTTTACAGCATACGTTTACCTTTAATACGTGTAGATATTGTGGATTGGAAAAAGATAGCTTAAATATGATTTTAATTCTGTAAAATAAGAGTAAGGTTTTTACTTTAATTTTATATTATTTTATGTTTTCAAATTTAAAAATATTAGTTATAGTTTCGATAAAATACCTTTCATTGATCTTCATTATAAGAAATAGCTTCTGACATTTTGATATATTTAAAAATAATTTATTTTGATATTGATAAATAACACGTTTTATATAAAAGTTATATTGTAAAAGATTAGAAAAAACATTGTACTGGGATGTAATTTCATCTAAGAGAAGTATTGAATCCTGTACGTACGTCCTCACTTATCCTCTTTCTGCGACTCTCTTCTCATTGGTTATCTGTATTCTCTCCCCATCCTGTAGATCCAAATTTCCTTTTCCTTCTTCATTCCCAATCCCATTCTTTAAGCTTCGCCAGAGAAACTCTAATATCTTTCAAGCAATCTAAAGTTAAGGCGCCAAAACCTTCAATCGATAATTCTAGGCGTTCTATAATGCAATCAATGGCTGCTTCAATCACTAATGCGCCATCCGCGGTCAATTGCCCGAGCTATGTCGGTCTCCGAGCGCCGAAGAGGACCTTCAACTTATGCGTTCCTCAACCTGCCACGAAGTCGTTCCCTCCGCGCCTTTTCGTCGTGAGAGCGAGCGATTCCGAGTTCGAGGCCGCCGTTGTCGCTGGAAAGGTTCCGTCGGCGCCTCCCGTGCCGCCTAAACCGGCGGCTCCGGTTGGGACTCCGGTTGTCCCTTCGCTTGTGAGTGTATTAATTGTTTTGTTGCATTACTACAACTAACTACACATTGCTTTGCAATGGTTTGATTGGTTTTGATTGGATGTTGGATTTTGTATTAGCCACTTCATCGGCGTCCTCGTCGGAACCGGAAGTCGCCTGCGCTTCGGTCGGCTTTTCAGGAAACTAGTATTTCGCCGGCGAATTTTGTGTATCCGCTCTTCATCCACGAAGGTTAGTCTCTTTGCCCACGGTGATTTTTTGTAACTTAGAGAACTTATATAAGTTATAAGCATTTTGAGTAAACGCTGTTCTAGTTTCATTTCATTGTTCACTGTCATTTGTACTAAACATAATATAAATGTACTACCAAGGAGCCAAGTTTTATAAGATCAGAGACTAAAGTAAGAGTTTTAATTAGTCAAGGACCGATGATTTTGCAAAAGCTTATTTATTTGTTTATTTATTTTTCGTTTTTCACTGTCATTTTTTTTGCTNAATTATCCAAACATATTAATTTATCATGTTGATATACATTGAAATTGACCACCTTAAGTTATGAATCATCGAAGCTTCATTAATGTATTATGTGATTGTTAGGTCGATCACAATCTCAACGATTAATTATAATTTGATAGTTAAACTCTCACTTTGAAGAGCAAACTAACAAGTCTGATTAGTCACTAAATAGGTCGGTCGGCTAAGTTTGGATGGCCAACTCCAAGGTCGAAAGATCAACCTAGTGCGCCTGACCGATCACCAACAACCGACTAATCATGCACCAACCCGGACGATCAAGTACTAACTCGGAAGAGCAACCTAGCATGCTTGGCTAACCATCAATAGCTTGGCTGGCCATGAAATAACTTGAACGGTCAAGTACCAACTCGGAAGAGCAACCCAGCATGTTCAATCACTAAACAACTCGACTGCCCACACCATCAAGCTTAGTCAGCCACCAAACAGACCAACCGACCATACACCAACTTAGATGACTAAGCACCAACCTAGAGATCAGGCCACTAAGCATGGATGATCACCAAACAGACCATCCAACCTCAAATTAGACCGATTAGAATGAATGATACTTGAGTAGATTAACCTTAAAACTTATTAACTTAATATTAAAATATGATTACTAACAATTAAGTCGTAATTAAGTCAACATTGAGAAAAATCCCATCAAGAAACCTATAAATAAATGTTTAAGGTAAAAAAGTATATTATGTACATTAACACTTGTATTGATTGTTATCTGTCAAATGTTGAACTAATTTTAACACCTTCCACAGGTATCATCCGATAAGTTTGAACTTACTCAAGAGGAAACTCAAAGAGTTGACCTTAACTTCATACCTGAAAAGCCATTCCACAAAAAGCACATGTGGTGAGATCCAAGTCAGATTAATTGAACCAATAATTATTGTTGTTCGAGGCATTTATCTGGGACTTGTGATGAAGCAGCAAAAATAGCACAAGTGAATAAAAATGAAGATGCAGTTGAATCAACAATTGGAAGAAGTTGCAATTATTAATTAGTAATAGAAAATAACTTGTATCAGTTCATTCAAATAAGTGCAGTTTTCATCAGCTATTGTCAATGATTTACGCAGCCATGGAAGAAAGTTGGTTGCAAATTTAATTGCTGAATAGTTCAATACCCAAGTGGTTGAATTCAATAGATACTAATTAAACGTTTAAAACCTATGTTAATGTATTAACATAGCTAATATATAATCTTATATATNTTTTTTTTTTCCAATTGCAATATCATATGCCCCTACCCCACAACCCAAATCCTTACAAATATTCTAACTAGGTTCTCTAATAAAACTTTTGATTCTTATATTTGAATTTTCAAGTCAAAAGGTCAAATTGTTTTATTCAACAATTTCACAATTTCTCTTGATTATGTCAATTAAGATAGATAGAAGTCTTTCTTTTTTCATTTTTTGATCTCTTTTATTTTCTATTTTCTTCATCCTTTTGTGGAAATTAGTTTCTTATAATTTGATGAAATCATGGGAGAAGTAACACTAAACCATGAAAGAGGCTTGGGAGTTTGATAAAAAAAAATGTATTTTTATAATTTTTGTATATTGAGTCTTGTAATTATTTTGTAATTTGTACTAAGCCTTTATTACGCCTTTTTAATTGTTTTGTTAATTTTTGCATTTAGTCTTGTATTTCAAGAGACTTTTTAGACATTGAGTCTGCTTGTTGGATGAACTCACTGAAGCTTTAAACACAAGATCTATAGTGTGAAAGATTTTTTTTAGACTTCTACGCTCATTATTACTCATTTCATTAAACCCTTTTATAATTTAAATCTTCAATTTAAAGTGATAAATATTTTTTAAGTCCTTGATTTGTTTTATTTATTGTGACATTCCAAACTTAATTGAATTTTTATTTTTTATTTGGTTTAAACCTTTCTTGATCCTCATTTTTGTATGAAAATCTCAGTTCGGTCCTCATTTTTTTATCTCTCTCAATTGGGTCATATTTTTTGTAAAAATGAACACATTTTACCCTAACCGTTACCTGGTCTCAGACGACGTTAAATTAAGGCCACGTGGTGCAGAGAGAATGTGTTGATGTTTTAGAATTAAGTTTTATAAAATGAAATAATTTAACAATATTATATTAAAAATACTAAAATAAATCTTTAATATATAAGATGTGATGTTTTGTTTTATGATAAAATAATATTATTATAGTCAACTACGGTATTTTATATATTTTTTATTTATATAAATTTATTTTTAAAGGAAAGCTCAGAAAATTAAAAAGAAAATATATACTTAAAAAATTTGCTTAATCAATTGATGTACAATAATTAATTATTTATCTATATTATTTTTGTATGAATTTCATTAAAATATATATATTATTTTTAATTTTAAATAAATTCAACATATATATTATATTCTTAACTTTTCAAAGTAATAAAATTATATATCTAATGATTATAATCAAAACACTTTCTGCGCATGCACAATCAAAGCACTCTCTACACAAACACACATTAGCACATTCTCTCTGTACCAAGTGACCTTAATTTGCCGTCTGAGACCAGTTAACGATTAGGGTAAAATGTGTTTATTTTTACAAAAAATATGACCCAATTGAGACAGATAAAAAATGAGGATTGAGATTTTCATACAAAAATGAAGACCAAGAGAGGGTTTAAACCTTTTTATTTTTTCCGTATTTTTTATTTTCTTTAACCTTAATTGAAATTATCCAAACATATTAATTTATCATGTTGATATACATTGAAATTGACCACCTTAAGTTATGAATCATCGAAGCTTCATTAATGTATTATGTGATTGTTAGGTCGATCACAATCTCAACGATTAATTATAATTTGATAGTTAAACTCTCACTTTGAAGAGCAAACTAACAAGTCTGATTAGTCACTAAATAGGTCGGTCGGCTAAGTTTGGATGGCCAACTCCAAGGTCGAAAGATCAACCTAGTGCGCCTGACCGATCACCAACAACCGACTAATCATGCACCAACCCGGACGATCAAGTACTAACTCGGAAGAGCAACCTAGCATGCTTGGCTAACCATCAATAGCTTGGCTGGCCATGAAATAACTTGAACGGTCAAGTACCAACTCGGAAGAGCAACCCAGCATGTTCAATCACTAAACAACTCGACTGCCCACACCATCAAGCTTAGTCAGCCACCAAACAGACCAACCGACCATACACCAACTTAGATGACTAAGCACCAACCTAGAGATCAGGCCACTAAGCATGGATGATCACCAAACAGACCATCCAACCTCAAATTAGACCGATTAGAATGAATGATACTTGAGTAGATTAACCTTAAAACTTATTAACTTAATATTAAAATATGATTACTAACAATTAAGTCGTAATTAAGTCAACATTGAGAAAAATCCCATCAAGAAACCTATAAATAAATGTTTAAGGTAAAAAAGTATATTATGTACATTAACACTTGTATTGATTGTTATCTGTCAAATGTTGAACTAATTTTAACACCTTCCACAGGTATCATCCGATAAGTTTGAACTTACTCAAGAGGAAACTCAAAGAGTTGACCTTAACTTCATACCTGAAAAGCCATTCCACAAAAAGCACATGTGGTGAGATCCAAGTCAGATTAATTGAACCAATAATTATTGTTGTTCGAGGCATTTATCTGGGACTTGTGATGAAGCAGCAAAAATAGCACAAGTGAATAAAAATGAAGATGCAGTTGAATCAACAATTGGAAGAAGTTGCAATTATTAATTAGTAATGGAAAATAACTTGTATCGGTTCATTCAAATAAGTGCAGTTTTCATCCGCTATTGTCAATGATTTACGCAGCCATGGAAGAAAGTTGGTTGCAAATTTAATTGCTGATTAGTTCAATACCCAAGTGGTTGAATTCAATAGATACTAATTAAACGTTTAAAACCTATGTTAATGTATTAACATAGCTAATATATAATCTTATATATATTGTGAATTTGAAACACACAAAACCAAAATGTTTTTTTATGTGGTTAGAAATAGAGTTTAATTAAGTTTTGATAATCTCTTGAGATAAAAGAATTTGACTGCCAATAGTCTTTAAAGTTGCCAAGTTTGACATTTCACTTTCTTTGATTTATTTAAGAATGATGGTTGTTGCATCAAATATCTCTTTTGCTAGATAGTTTTGTGAACTTTCAGTGATCGTCTTGTGTTTATCACATGAATTATTTGCATCTAAATAAAGTTCTGTTGAGCTTTAACCCATTCTCTTGTTGTGTGCACTTTCTTAAAGAGTTTCATTGAGTGTATTTTTTTCTTTAAATCAACATTACAAATTATCATTAATCACAAGAAATAATGTAAATATAGTTTAATTGAAATTAATTTCTTTTCAAAGTAATGTTATGAGTCCATTCAAGCTCAAAATATGTGTCATTGCATCAGAGAAGACGATGCAAATGTAATCACACAAAATCTCCTCCAATATCATATTTTTGAGAAAATATAGAATAGCTCAATATTACTTTGTTTATTTCTTAAAAACTTTAATTATAAAAGAAATGGAGAGATTTGCAACATTATCATAGGTTATAAGCTATTAGTTAAAACATAAATTAAAGAAGAATCAGTACGTCATATTTGAAATTGTTTAGTTGGATAATAAAGAAATAGATTTTCAATGTGTTTAGATTCAAAATATGCAAAGTAGTAATAAACAAAGAAAAAGTTTTGTTTTTCTCTCGTGAAATGATTGAATAGAAAAGTAGCGAGAAAAAAAGTGTTTTCTTTTTCTTTTCTTTTTCTTTACAGCATACGTTTACCTTTAATACGTGTAGATATTGTGGATTGGAAAAAGATAGCTTAAATATGATTTTAATTCTGTAAAATAAGAGTAAGGTTTTTACTTTAATTTTATATTATTTTATGTTTTCAAATTTAAAAATATTAGTTATAGTTTCGATAAAATACCTTTCATTGATCTTCATTATAAGAAATAGCTTCTGACATTTTGATATATTTAAAAATAATTTATTTTGATATTGATAAATAACACGTTTTATATAAAAGTTATATTGTAAAAGATTAGAAAAAACATTGTACTGGGATGTAATTTCATCTAAGAGAAGTATTGAATCCTGTACGTACGTCCTCACTTATCCTCTTTCTGCGACTCTCTTCTCATTGGTTATCTGTATTCTCTCCCCATCCTGTAGATCCAAATTTCCTTTTCCTTCTTCATTCCCAATCCCATTCTTTAAGCTTCGCCAGAGAAACTCTAATATCTTTCAAGCAATCTAAAGTTAAGGCGCCAAAACCTTCAATCGATAATTCTAGGCGTTCTATAATGCAATCAATGGCTGCTTCAATCACTAATGCGCCATCCGCGGTCAATTGCCCGAGCTATGTCGGTCTCCGAGCGCCGAAGAGGACCTTCAACTTATGCGTTCCTCAACCTGCCACGAAGTCGTTCCCTCCGCGCCTTTTCGTCGTGAGAGCGAGCGATTCCGAGTTCGAGGCCGCCGTTGTCGCTGGAAAGGTTCCGTCGGCGCCTCCCGTGCCGCCTAAACCGGCGGCTCCGGTTGGGACTCCGGTTGTCCCTTCGCTTGTGAGTGTATTAATTGTTTTGTTGCATTACTACAACTAACTACACATTGCTTTGCAATGGTTTGATTGGTTTTGATTGGATGTTGGATTTTGTATTAGCCACTTCATCGGCGTCCTCGTCGGAACCGGAAGTCGCCTGCGCTTCGGTCGGCTTTTCAGGAAACTAGTATTTCGCCGGCGAATTTTGTGTATCCGCTCTTCATCCACGAAGGTTAGTCTCTTTGCCCACGGTGATTTTTTGTAACTTAGAGAACTTATATAAGTTATAAGCATTTTGAGTAAACGCTGTTCTAGTTTCATTTCATTGTTCACTGTCATTTGTACTAAACATAATATAAATGTACTACCAAGGAGCCAAGTTTTATAAGATCAGAGACTAAAGTAAGAGTTTTAATTAGTCAAGGACCGATGATTTTGCAAAAGCTTATTTATTTGTTTATTTATTTTTCGTTTTTCACTGTCATTTTTTTTGCTACAAATACTATTTTTCGTTTGTAGGTATTGGGTTGTAATATAGACTAGTATTTTCTTTATTATTTGATGTTGGACCATGAGAACGTTTGAGTTTGAACTTGCAGGCGAAGAAGATACTCCAATCGGAGCTATGCCTGGATGCTACAGGCTTGGATGGAGGCATGGACTTGTACAAGAGGTTTTATCTGCTACTGTTTATGTGTCTCTTACTGTTATGCATGACTTAAATGAATCCCTTATTTGCCTCAAGTTTTTATTTCATTTTTACGTTCTTCAATTTTAGTGCCAAAGTCATTAAGCGAGTGGAATTTTGGAAATGTTGTAGAGTGAAGTACAAGTTAACAAAATCAAACCATTCACAAATAATAGTGAATCTGAGGTTTAGAGATGTCTCTCTACTTTGTTTTAAATCCGGACTGACTAGTTGGATCAGAAAACCAGTGAACCAGTCCGTTAACCAGTTCAAAGAAACCACAAAACCAGCCTTTAGAAGTCATTTTTGAAAGATTGAGTTAAGTTTAAAATTCATTTCTAAATATAGTCATGCCTTTCTAGGATAGGTGGTAGGTTTTGCTTGGGTACTAGCGAAAACACAACCATTGCTGCACATGCGTGTCCACATTTTTTATTATATTATTTTATTTTAATTAAAACATTGTTGGAGAAGCAATATAGACTGCAGATTTGCATGAAAGAGGAAGAAAGAAAATGTAATTGTATTGTAGAGTAATGGCATATACGTAACAAAATAATAGTTTTGAGGTTCAAAATATTGAAAAGGGCAAAATAGGAATGTCAAAATGTATATACAAAATGGGTATCTCCATTATATATTATTATATATTGTTATAAATGTTATCGATTATAACTTAGGAGTAGAGACACAAATGAAACGTTTTTCTTGTTTATATTTTTAAACTGTGTGGGTGATGTTATTTTTACTGTATCTTGTGTAACTTACTATAAGTTTAGTAATTTTCCGTGGGCATTTTGTTCTTCAGGTTGCAAAAGCACGGGATGTTGGTGTTAATAGTATTGTGCTCTTCCCCAAAATTCCAGATGCTTTGAAGGTTCTATTCTCTCTCCTGTAAACTATAGGTCTTTAGTCAGATAACTATAGCTTAATCTAATATAACAACTTTCTCCCTTTAGTCTCCCACAGGAGATGAAGCATACAATGAAAATGGTTTAGTGCCTCGGACAATTCGTTTGCTCAAGGATAAGTACCCAGACCTTGTAAGTGAACACTATTTCAATAATTTGAAGATATTATACTGTGGTTCATATAGGAAGGTAAGTCAATGACCTTTCTCGTTCAATCTTTCTTCAGGTTATCTATACGGATGTTGCATTAGATCCTTATTCATCAGATGGGCATGATGGCATAGTTAGAGAAGATGGTAAGCTATCAAATTTTCCTTTTATACTTTATTTAGAAACCTATTGAGAAAAATGAAGAAATTATAGGGTTTTTAGTTGGTTCTTGCTATATTTGAATCAATATTGTTATTTCCCACACCATATGGACCTCAAAACTTCGAACATATGTGTCATGTGGAGATATAAGTTTGGTTTGGTGGTAAAAGTTGGAAGAGAGGAAAATATAGGTCATGGGTTCAAGGTCTTCTTACTAACCAAAACTAACATTAATAACTAATATTTGTCGATAAAAAATAATGTCATCCTGAATGTGATGTCTTGACTTAACTCATGAGAGTTTTGTGAAGTTGGGGCATGGATGCTAAATAAGAATATTATTTAAAGATGGAGGTGTCAAAATGGGTTTCAACTTGTGAGCCAATCCGACTCATCACGTGATTGAGTCGGGTTGGTTTAAAAAAAATTGTTGTTTTAGATATGAGTCAAACTTAACTTAGCTCACTTAACCTGCGAGTTAAACGAGTTCGAGTTGAGTTGGAGGTGGGTTAACTCCGTAACTCCCCAATAACGACCTTTATTACTTTTTTATCATTTTTTTATTGTAATTATTTATTACTTCCAATTACTTAGGTTGACAATTTGATATTTTTAAAGATTAGAATGTTGTTTTATAATATTTGAATAGTTTGGATTTTTAATTTATTTGTTTGTCCAATTATATAGGTTGACAGTTTAATTTTCAATTACGGTCTTTATAATAATGTTTGGTGGAATATGTTAACACTATTGTATTTCTATAAATAGATGAGTCGAGTGAATCCACTTTGACTATACTTACGACAAATATATGAAATAAATTAAGAAAACAAACATTTGTTAAGTAAGTCAACCTATCTAACTCACCAATCCGTTGTGGGTCGAACTAGGTTACAAAATTTATGTCCCACCAAAAGGTGACTTGGGTTGAACTAACTATTTTTTAGCTCAACATGGGGTGAGTTAACCCATCTTAACTGTGTTGTCTCACTTTTACTCTCCTATTCAGAGACGATCTTGTTTTATGGTGAGAAATGATATGGAAGAAGTATCGAATTGTTCCCAATATTCTTGCATTCATTCCTCTTGCTTCAAACCTAACAAGATTTTGTAAGGATATTGGATCGTGGAGTGCTCCAAATGCCTAACTACAACATACCTAAACATNAATCCTGTACGTACGTCCTCACTTATCCTCTTTCTGCGACTCTCTTCTCATTGGTTATCTGTATTCTCTCCCCATCCTGTAGATCCAAATTTCCTTTTCCTTCTTCATTCCCAATCCCATTCTTTAAGCTTCGCCAGAGAAACTCTAATATCTTTCAAGCAATCTAAAGTTAAGGCGCCAAAACCTTCAATCGATAATTCTAGGCGTTCTATAATGCAATCAATGGCTGCTTCAATCACTAATGCGCCATCCGCGGTCAATTGCCCGAGCTATGTCGGTCTCCGAGCGCCGAAGAGGACCTTCAACTTATGCGTTCCTCAACCTGCCACGAAGTCGTTCCCTCCGCGCCTTTTCGTCGTGAGAGCGAGCGATTCCGAGTTCGAGGCCGCCGTTGTCGCTGGAAAGGTTCCGTCGGCGCCTCCCGTGCCGCCTAAACCGGCGGCTCCGGTTGGGACTCCGGTTGTCCCTTCGCTTGTGAGTGTATTAATTGTTTTGTTGCATTACTACAACTAACTACACATTGCTTTGCAATGGTTTGATTGGTTTTGATTGGATGTTGGATTTTGTATTAGCCACTTCATCGGCGTCCTCGTCGGAACCGGAAGTCGCCTGCGCTTCGGTCGGCTTTTCAGGAAACTAGTATTTCGCCGGCGAATTTTGTGTATCCGCTCTTCATCCACGAAGGTTAGTCTCTTTGCCCACGGTGATTTTTTGTAACTTAGAGAACTTATATAAGTTATAAGCATTTTGAGTAAACGCTGTTCTAGTTTCATTTCATTGTTCACTGTCATTTGTACTAAACATAATATAAATGTACTACCAAGGAGCCAAGTTTTATAAGATCAGAGACTAAAGTAAGAGTTTTAATTAGTCAAGGACCGATGATTTTGCAAAAGCTTATTTATTTGTTTATTTATTTTTCGTTTTTCACTGTCATTTTTTTTGCTACAAATACTATTTTTCGTTTGTAGGTATTGGGTTGTAATATAGACTAGTATTTTCTTTATTATTTGATATTGGACCATGAGAACGTTTGAGTTTGAACTTGCAGGCGAAGAAGATACTCCAATCGGAGCTATGCCTGGATGCTACAGGCTTGGATGGAGGCATGGACTTGTACAAGAGGTTTTATCTGCTACTGTTTATGTGTCTCTTACTGTTATGCATGACTTAAATGAATCCCTTATTTGCCTCAAGTTTTTATTTCATTTTTACGTTCTTCAATTTTAGTGCCAAAGTCATTAAGCGAGTGGAATTTTGGAAATGTTGTAGAGTGAAGTACAAGTTAACAAAATCAAACCATTCACAAATAATAGTGAATCTGAGGTTTAGAGATGTCTCTCTACTTTGTTTTAAATCCGGACTGACTAGTTGGATCAGAAAACCAGTGAACCAGTCCGTTAACCAGTTCAAAGAAACCACAAAACCAGCCTTTAGAAGTCATTTTTGAAAGATTGAGTTAAGTTTAAAATTCATTTCTAAATATAGTCATGCCTTTCTAGGATAGGTGGTAGGTTTTGCTTGGGTACTAGCGAAAACACAACCATTGCTGCACATGCGTGTCCACATTTTTTATTATATTATTTTATTTTAATTAAAACATTGTTGGAGAAGCAATATAGACTGCAGATTTGCATGAAAGAGGAAGAAAGAAAATGTAATTGTATTGTAGAGTAATGGCATATACGTAACAAAATAATAGTTTTGAGGTTCAAAATATTGAAAAGGGAAAAATAGGAATGTCAAAATGTATATACAAAATGGGTATCTCCATTATATATTATTATATATTGTTATAAATGTTATCGATTATAACTTAGGAGTAGAGACACAAATGAAACGTTTTTCTTGTTTATATTTTTAAACTGTGTGGGTGATGTTATTTTTACTGTATCTTGTGTAACTTACTATAAGTTTAGTAATTTTCCGTGGGCATTTTGTTCTTCAGGTTGCAAAAGCACGGGATGTTGGTGTTAATAGTATTGTGCTCTTCCCCAAAATTCCAGATGCTTTGAAGGTTCTATTCTCTCTCCTGTAAACTATAGGTCTTTAGTCAGATAACTATAGCTTAATCTAATATAACAACTTTCTCCCTTTAGTCTCCCACAGGAGATGAAGCATACAATGAAAATGGTTTAGTGCCTCGGACAATTCGTTTGCTCAAGGATAAGTACCCAGACCTTGTAAGTGAACACTATTTCAATAATTTGAAGATATTATACTGTGGTTCATATAGGAAGGTAAGTCAATGACCTTTCTCGTTCAATCNAGAGAAGACGATGCAAATGTAATCACACAAAATCTCCTCCAATATCATATTTTTGAGAAAATATAGAATAGCTCAATATTACTTTGTTTATTTCTTAAAAACTTTAATTATAAAAGAAATGGAGAGATTTGCAACATTATCATAGGTTATAAGCAATTAGTTAAAACATAAATTAAAGAAGAATCAGTACTGTCATATTTGAAATTGTTTAGTTGGATAATAAAGAAATAGATTTTCAATGTGTTTAGATTCAAAATATGCAAAGTAGTAATAAACAAAGAAAAAGTTTTGTTTTTCTCTCGTGAAATGATTGAATAGAAAAGTAGCGAGAAAAAAAGTGTTTTCTTTTTCTTTTCTTTTTCTTTACAGCATACGTTTACCTTTAATACGTGTAGATATTGTGGATTGGAAAAAGATAGCTTAAATATGATTTTAATTCTGTAAAATAAGAGTAAGGTTTTTACTTTAATTTTATATTATTTTATGTTTTCAAATTTAAAAATATTAGTTATAGTTTCGATAAAATACCTTTCATTGATCTTCATTATAAGAAATAGCTTCTGACATTTTGATATATTTAAAAATAATTTATTTTGATATTGATAAATAACACGTTTTATATAAAAGTTATATTGTAAAAGATTAGAAAAAACATTGTACTGGGATGTAATTTCATCTAAGAGAAGTATTGAATCCTGTACGTACGTCCTCACTTATCCTCTTTCTGCGACTCTCTTCTCATTGGTTATCTGTATTCTCTCCCCATCCTGTAGATCCAAATTTCCTTTTCCTTCTTCATTCCCAATCCCATTCTTAAAGCTTCGCCAGAGAAACTCTAATATCTTTCAAGCAATCTAAAGTTAAGCGCCAAAACCTTCAATCGATAATTCTAGGCGTTCTATAATGCAATCAATGGCTGCTTCAATCACTAATGCGCCATCCGCGGTCAATTGCCCGAGCTATGTCGGTCTCCGAGCGCCGAAGAGGACCTTCAACTTATGCGTTCCTCAACCTGCCACGAAGTCGTTCCCTCCGCGCCTTTTCGTCGTGAGAGCGAGCGATTCCGAGTTCGAGGCCGCCGTTGTCGCTGGAAAGGTTCCGTCGGCGCCTCCCGTGCCGCCTAAACCGGCGGCTCCGGTTGGGACTCCGGTTGTCCCTTCGCTTGTGAGTGTATTAATTGTTTTGTTGCATTACTACAACTAACTACACATTGCTTTGCAATGGTTTGATTGGTTTTGATTGGATGTTGGATTTTGTATTAGCCACTTCATCGGCGTCCTCGTCGGAACCGGAAGTCGCCTGCGCTTCGGTCGGCTTTTCAGGAAACTAGTATTTCGCCGGCGAATTTTGTGTATCCGCTCTTCATCCACGAAGGTTAGTCTCTTTGCCCACGGTGATTTTTTGTAACTTAGAGAACTTATATAAGTTATAAGCATTTTGAGTAAACGCTGTTCTAGTTTCATTTCATTGTTCACTGTCATTTGTACTAAACATAATATAAATGTACTACCAAGGAGCCAAGTTTTATAAGATCAGAGACTAAAGTAAGAGTTTTAATTAGTCAAGGACCGATGATTTTGCAAAAGCTTATTTATTTGTTTATTTATTTTTC